GGGGTTGTGGGGTTTTGGCTCGTTGTGTCACCCGTGGGCACTGCCAGGCCGTGCTATGTGTGTCCTGGTGGTGTGTGAGCTGTCATGTGTGTGCCCTAGTGGTGTGTGTACCCTGGTGGTGTGTGAGCTGTGATGTGTGTGCCCTGGTGGTTTGTACCCTGGTGGTGTGTGAGCTGTCATGTGTGTGCCCTAGTGGTGTGTGTACCCTGGTGGTGTGTGAGCTGTGATGTGTGTGCCCTGGTGGTTTGTACCCTGGTGGTGTGTGAGCTGTCATGTGTGTGCCCTAGTGGTGTGTGTACCCTGGTGGTGTGTGAGCTGTGATGTGTGTGCCCTGGTGGTTTGTACCCTGGTGGTGTGTGAGCTGTCATGTGTGTGCCCTAGTGGTGTGTGTACCCTGGTGGTGTGTGAGCTGTGATGTGTGTGCCCTGGTGGTTTGTACCCTGGTGGTGTGTGAGCTGTCATGTGTGTGCCCTAGTGGTGTGTGTACCCTGGTGGTGTGTGAGCTGTGATGTGTGTGCCCTGGTGGTTTGTGCCCTGGTGGTGTGTGAATTGTGATGTGTGTCCTGTATCACCCCTGGCCCTGTCACACTGTCAGTGAGTGGGACATGGGGCAGGGAAGCACCTCCAAATCAAAAGGTTTCCTTAGAATCCAGGGGTAAAACATCACCTCTCTCTCACACACACACACACTCCCATCCAGTTGTGCCCCAGTTGGGTTGAGTGAGGGATGTTTAGCTAATAAACTCTTGTTGCCTCCCAGGGCAGAGGGTTGGGACTAGATGATCTATAAAGTGCATTCCAACCCTTAAAATTCTATGATTGTATATTTATCATGTGAACATTAGCCTGTTTCAGAGGTTAAACAAGAAATATTGGGTTCTGGGGAGGGCAGAGGTGCGTTTGGTTTGTGTCTTGCATGTTCAGTAGAGCGTGGATGGGCTGGAAGGGGGAAAGGACCACCAGGAAATTAAATAAACATCAAGCAAAGTCAGAGTCAGTTTTATCAAATAGTGACTTAAAAAGCAATGCTGCCTCCTCAGCTTGTGCTGCCTTGCTGTGTGTTAGTCTGCTCAGTGTTTTTGGCAGGTGCTGAAGTGTTTTACTCTGTTAGTAGGTGTAAGGAAACAGAACAGGCCCTGGAGGTATTGGCTAAATTCAATACCTCTGGTGGGAGAGAAACCTGAGAGCAAATGGGTAGGAAATGTTGTGCTTTATATAGTGGTGTAAAAGGCTGTTAAGTTCCTCTTAATTTCACGTTTCACCCCAGAGACTTTTCCAGGATGGAGACACCAGTTCTGAGTGGTCCCAGTCTGAGAGGGAAGGAAGAGCTCTGGCTTAGGTCTGACACTCTGAAAGGTGTTAAAAACCAGCATGGAATGAGGTGCAGGGTTAGTTGTGTGTGGGTTGAGCTACATAGACATGAAGGCACATCCAAAAATAGCTCCTGATGAACTCATCACTCACTGAGCAATTCTGACTGATGAGCAGACTCAAAACAGCAGGGATGGTTTCAGAGCACTCCAAGTGCTCCTCACTTGCAGGGAGGTTTGTTTATAAAAACAGCAGCTTTTTTTTTCCAGTTCAATTTGCATAAGTTTATGTAACATTTTCACTAGTGCTTTGATTTACTTGTGGCCAAAATAGATTAGATTTCCTCCTTCTTTGAAGTAACAAGAGAGGGTATTTGAGCACTGCAGTGAAGGCCATGAAGGGCCTGAACTGGCCAGAGCTATTGCCAAAATAAGAGAGGGACATTTTTCCATATGCCTGGAACAGTGTGATACCTTTGTAACTTGAAATTTCTTCAAATGCATTTTTTCTTTCTCTACAGTGATGATAACTGCAAATGCTGTTGTGCACTTGTGTTGTTGTAACCAGCCCAAGGCCTCTCCTCTTTAATCCACTGAGTTTTGATGAAGACTTTAATTTTCAAAGTGGATTTTGATGTCTGTGGACATTGGCACTGCCAGCAAATGCAATTGGCTTCTGGTGGTGTTTGTCAGGGAAATGTTTCCATTTTCAGGTTGGAATGAATGGATGTTGGTAGGAGGCTGAGAACACTCACACTTTTCACTGGGAGCTTAATCCAAAAAACCCCCAAAGCATTTCACCCACTTAAGCTGTCCCAACATTTATTTTGCAAAAATATTGACTCATCTGCTAGGATGTTAGAGCTGTCCTGGAGGATGCAGACAGAGCTGCATTAGAGAACTCCTAAATCACTGCTTGTGTTTGATGGTTTGGTATCCAAACAAAATCCAGTTCTGGGCTGCATCCCAAGGAGTGTGGGCAGTAGGTCGAAGGAGGTGATTCTCCCCCTCTACTCTGCTCTTGTGAGATCCACTTGGAGCACTGCACACACTTCTGGTGTCCCCAACATCAGAAGGACATGGAACTGTTGGAGCAAGTCCAGAGGAGGCCACAAAGATGATCAGAGAACTGGAGCACCTTCCCTATGAGGACAGGCTGAGAGAGTTGGGGTTGTTCAGCCTGGAGAAGAGAAGGTTGTGTGGAGACCTCAGAGCACCTTCCAGGACCTGAAGGGACTCCAGGGAAGCTGCAGAGGGACTTGGTTGGGAACTGCAGTGACAGGACAAGGAGCAATGGGGATAAATTGAGAGGGGAAGTTTAGATTAGATATGAGGAAGAAGTTTTTCCCTGTGAGGGTGGTGAGACACTGGCACAGGTTGCCCAGGGAGGCGGTGGTTGCCCCAACTCTGACAGTGTTCATTCCAGGTTGGATCAAGCCTTCTGTCTTAAAAGGTGGTTTAATCTATCCAGCAAATTGTCTGTGGGCTGGAATTATGTGTAGTAGCAAAGCCTTGGAAATCCTGTATATGACAACGTGGGAATTATATGCTGAACCAATGCACTCCTCAGGATTTGAAACAACTGTTTCAAATCTAGCAATCTACACATTTAGCAGTGATGATTTCCTACCAGAAGTTGTTCTTGGCACACACTTGTTGGGAGCTGCAGTGACTCTGTCAGTGTTCAGGCAGCAGCCAAGTAGTTAAACAGGCAACTCTCAAGCAGCACATGGGCAGAGATACCTTGTGATGAGCCTCTTCCCTCCCTTTCCTGATGAAAAACACCCAGCTGAAGGGAATACTCAAGGTTATGAACAGGAGGTATCTTCCTTGTCATTCCCTCTGTGGTGTTCAGTAGGATTTCTCCAGGGGGAGATTGACCAACCTGCTGCATTCCAGTTTGCCCAGCACAGTCCTGTCATTCACTGGAATTTGTTTAGCATACACACAAATTGTGTAGGTTAATATATTACTCACCTACCTCTTTCACGTGGTTTGTGAGTCAGTATTTCAAAACTACTGATGCTAATTAACAATTAATCAGCATTTAAAACCCTGGCCAGGCTAGAGTGCCCCTGTAAACACTGTGGGCTGTGCACTGCAGCAACTTTGGCATCCTTTGGAAAG